GGCAGGGGGCAAGAACCCGACCTGCAGAGAAGAATGAGTGGGTGCTCACCGTGAGCCGAGGTTTTACCCTCAGGGAGGAAGGCCACGTGCGCGCAGGGTGTTCTGCAGCGACGGGGCCCCCGCGACCTGACCGCCCCTCTTTCGGCGGAACTGGGGGCGGGGGGGCAGTCGTCGCACCCGTGCCCCATCCCCAGGAGCCTGTTCCCACCCAGCACAGGGCCCACAACCAGCGGCGGAGCCCGCGTAAGTCTAACGTTTCGGTGCGTAAACCAGAGTCCCATCTCTTCGAAACCGACCAAGGCCTCGAGTCCCTCGGATAAGAAACTCCGGCGCCGTCGGTGTCACCAACCTCTGCTCCAGGCGGCGACCCGGGGCCACGGCGAGGGCTGGGGACGCCGCGCCCTCTGCCCGCAGGACCTGCGCTTCCAAGCCGCGCGCGGCCGAGGCGCCGAGAACCACCCTCTCTCGGCCGTGTCTCCCGTGGGGGCGGGGAGCAGCTTCACGTCCTCGCGGGGCCGCAGGGAGAGGACGCCTGCCCGGAGCTGGCGGGGCCGGTGGGACCGGGCGGGGCCGGAGCGCAGGGCGAGGGCTGGGTGTTCGAAGGGAGGGAGCGCTGCTCCGGGTTCAGCTTCGGCGCCGATGCCCGCCCGGGAGCCCGAAGAGCCGCCCGTCTGCCCCGGAGAGCCTCCGCCGCTGCGGAGCTCGCGGCGACAGAGGGGCCCGAAGGGGTCCCGGGGGCTCGGCGCTGGGCCGGCGGTGGCGGCGGAGGCGGGGACACCACTACGCCTTTCGGGTCCGTGCTCGCTCCCGGCGCGCAGCGTGGGGCCCCCAAGCCCTTTCCCGAGGGCGCGCACCGGAGCTCTACGTAGGGCCTTGGGGTTCCGAAGTCCCCGGGTGTGGCCGGGAGCCCCTTTCCTTACTCAGCCCCTGGAGGGGGGGTGGCTAGACCCTCGCCCAGCGCCCGGCCGGGCCCTGAACGCGCCGCTGGCCGGTAGCTGCGCGCAGGCGAGTAGGAGCCGCGGCTGCCGGCGGCCCGCGGAGGCGGCAGGACCGAGGCCGGATTCAGGCCGCCCCCGAGAAACTGCAGAGCCGCTCCACGGAGGCGGGGCAGTGGGAGAGGAGGGCGGGGGCGAGGGCTCCTGGTCCCCGCTGCCAGCCCACCTTGTGTCTCCCCGCAGGCGAAGGGGGCGGCTGGACCTGGCGGGCCTCCTCTCCCACCGCGGCCAGGGGCAGAGGGCGGCCAGGGCTGCGCAGAGGCCTGGGCCACGCTTGTCTGGGCCGCAGCCGGCCGCTGGGAGTGGGGGCGGCGGCTACCGGGTGGGTACACCCTTGGGGCGGGCAGCTGGGCCGCCCCCCAGGATGAAGGAGGTTAGCGCCTTAGAACCGGCCGAGTCCCTCAGAAGAATGGGTGGGAAAGGGGTTGAGACCGCTCCAAGCCGGAGCAGGTAGAGCAATAGCTCTTAGAAAAAGAGGTCAGAAAAAGCAAAAAAGAGGTTTGATAAATTGCAAATCACACTTCCAGACAGCACCCCCCAGATTTTCATTTAAATCCAGGACCTTTCCATCATCTCAGACCCGCTTCTTGTTCTGCAGCTGTCGTGGGAACTTAGAGCAGGCCGAACGGGCAAACTGCGCAGAGGCAGAAAGCCAGGGATGGTTTAAATCAGTGGATCTCAAAGTGAGGTGCCCGAACCAGTAGCATCAGCACCAACAAGTTGTTAGAAATGCAACTCTCAGCCCCTCTGCAACCTACTGAATCCGACACTCCAGGGGAGGGTCCCAGCCATCTGTGTTCTAATCCATCCTGTGCAGTCCTGTTTGGAAACCACTGATTTAAGGAACAGAGCCCTCGTGTCTGTCCCGGCTGCACTGTTTGTAAATACTTTATATACATCTTCTCCCATTATATACAGCCTCCCCATTTTATAGCTGAGGACATGGGACCAGAGGGATCAGACAGACAAAGGAGGTGTCCCAACCAGCCAGGGATGGGCCTACCGGTGATTACTCCATCCCCACCTCTCTGGCTCCTGGCTCCTGGCTCCTGGCTCCTGGCTCCCACTGCTGAACTGGCAGCACCTGTATTGTAATGCTAGTGTAGAGGAGGCCATACTGGGATTTCCACTGGGAGACTCCAGCTTCCACACAGTTCAAAAACCACCTCACCAGCAGTGAGGCCGCTGTGTGCCCCTTCCTCCCCCTATCACTTTCAGTTTCCAGGGGCTGAGCTCTCCCTGCAGCCTCTGGCAGGTAGTAGCCTCTGCCACCCGCCTCTCAGCCTGGCCTAGCCCTTTTCCTCAATCCCTGAGCCCACTCCTCTCTGAGCCAGCAACTCTGAACTGTGAACTACCTACTTCTCGCACAGCACAGAAATATTGGGGAACTGGGCTGTCAGTTTTGATGCTAGTATGGGGCATGCTGGGGTGCTTGTCAAGTATCTCCTCAAATTCCTGCAAGGTCAAGGATTCCAGAGAGAGTATGCAAGCCTGACAGAAGCCCCCCAAGACCTCCCACCCAGCCTTAAATACCTGGCACGACTCCTTGTTCCACAGTCCAGGGTTAGAATTAAACATGTGGCTGGCAAAAGCATGCGTGTGTCCCCCCACCCCACTCCACCTCATCCTCCCTCACCCCTCAATATCAGTTATTTTACTCATAGTCACAGGGAACCACGGAGAAGTGGAGAGCCAACTGCACCTCAATTGCAGTCATTGCCTTTTGAAAGACTGTCAATGGCAGGCAGAGTTCTGGTTGGTCGAATGCATGTGCTCAGAGGGCATGGAGCTAGCTGTGAATAACAGCACCTGCACGGGTATGTTCTGCCATTGTCCAAGGTCTGGCGTCCTGGGGCCACAGACTGGGAGGAGGAGTAGGATACTGGGTGTGGGCAGAAGATTAGAGATGCATCAGTGCATGCTCTGCCTTCAGGGAGCATGTAGTCTAGTGATCTAGTGTGGGAGGGGCACTATCCATCTATCTAGATATATGAATCTATCTCTATATATCTATACCTATATCTATATCTATATACCTATATCTATACCTATACCTATACCTATATCTATACCTATACCTATACCTATACCTATACCTATACCTATACCTATACCTATACCTATACCTACATCTACATCTACATCTACATCTACATCTACATCTACATCTATATCTATATCTAAGTGACAATTGCCATGCGGGATGTAAAGTGTTTTAGGGGTTCTCAGGAGGGAGAGGTTGTGTTTGTCTAGGACAGTGGTCAGCAAACTCATTAGTCAACAGAGCCAAATATCAACAGTACAACAATTGAAATTTCTTTTGAGAGCCAAATTTTTTAAACTTAAACTATATAGGTAGGTACATTGTTATTAACTTAATTAGGGTACTCCTAAGGCTTAGGAAGAGCCACACTCAAGGGGCCAAAGAGCCGCATGTGGCTTGTGAGCCGCGGTTTGCTGACCACTGGTCTAGGATAAGTGGGAAAGCATCATGGAAAAGTTAACACTTGAGCTGCATCTTGAGGCAAGGCTAAAACCTGGGGTAAAGGGACAGAGAGGAGCTTCCCACTGGAGGTGTCTCTCTTTCTTCCTAGACCTGCCCCCATATCAGGCCCTCTGGTTCTATTAGTGGCTGTGGTGGCAGCTTCTACACTGAGCCTCCTTATGTGTGTGGGTCCTGATTCTGGGTACGGATCATTCAGCAAGCATGGCTGATTCAAGATTGCCCACCTCTCCACTGAGCTGTGTGGGGTCTCAGGGGCAGACATGGCTGATTTCAAGGCCCCCTACTCCCAGCAGAGCAATGGTGAACTCCTCTGGGATTCTAAGGATAGAAGCAGCTGGGGAGGCCCAGGGGAAAACATTTGCCTCAATGGGCATCTGTGGAGGTGGCCTGGGCAGGAGGAGGCAAAGCAGGGTGGGGCTGCTGGGCAGGTAGAGTGTGCCCACCCTCCGTGAACCATAAGAAGTGGCAGGGTCTGTGGGGGACAGGATTGCCAGGCCCTGAGCTCCAGCTGAGCAAGCTTCAACCCTCCACCATCAGGACAGCCCCTAACCCCTACTGCTGCCAGATGGGGCTTGGCCCAACCCAGTCGTGGCCTCTGCCCCAGGGCTTAGGGAGAGATTTCTCCAAATAATGTCACTCTGCTCAGGTGAGTCCTCCCCCTCCTTCTGAGACCTATGCACTCCGAATCCCCCCTCCCCCACTCCCTGGTGAATTATAGATCCAGAGAGCAGCTGTGGCCCAAAGACCTTGTGTAGAGGAGATAGAAGCCAGAGAAGCTCCAAAATAGAAAATAACTTGTCCAGGGTCAGATGTCATCCCTAATTTCTGGGATGGTAGGAACCCTAGGATGTGATTCCTTTGGAGCAAGGGTTGCCTCCACCTCAGGGTGTCAGCAAGGACCTAAGGGTAGACCTCATATAGACTCCCCCCCCCCCCCGCCCCGCCCCAACCCCATACCTGCCTTCTCTTCTGCCCTGGCTCTGTGCCAGTCAACATTGCCTCTGCAGGGCTTACACCTGGGAACATGCCATGCTGTAGAGAAAGCCCAGACCTTCCAGGCCAGCTGGGCAAAGGAGGGGGGAGAGGGAGGTAAAGCGACACAAGACTCTCTAGAACCCTTCCTCAGGCTCAACTACCCACTCCCTTCTAATCTGTCTTCATGCAGAGCCTTTGGAGAGGGATATGAGGGACTGGTTATGCCCTTCCTGGGGACCCCAGCCCCCTGCAGGTGGCTATCAAGGTGAGAGGAGGTGGAGCTTCTGGCTGGAGCCAGGAGAGCAGGGTTCCAAGGAGAGAGAAACAATTGCTGATGCTAGGGTCAACACACCCTCCTGGTGTCTGGGGACCTCAGGAGCTCGGTGCCCTTATCCTCCCTAGACTGCCCGAACTCTGCTCTCAGGATGAGCGGGATTTCCTCATGGCGGTGCACCTGGGGCCACAGGCCATGTGGAAGTTGTGGGGAAGGCACCCAGCATCTGCAGGAGCTGCCTCTCTTTACCATGGGGCTAAGAGGTAGCAAGTCTAGGGACACCGAGGTCCCCTGCAGTTTTGTGGAGCCTAAAGCGTGGTTTCTCTTCCTGCTGGTGATGGGATGTGTGTACCACCAGCCCAGCAAGTTCAGCCATCAGAACATTGTGCACTGTGTGGAGCTCGGCCTCCAGGCTGGCCCTCACCTAATTCTGCTGGAGTTGATGTCTGGAGGGGACATGAAATTTCCTGAGGCGCAGCCCGCCACACCTGCTAATAAGATCCTTCTCCCAGCCCGCCAGGTGCCTCTAAAGACCCTGTCCCTGTGTGCCAAAACCTTCATGGGCAAATGCACCCTCTGCCCTACCCAGGCCCAGCCATCACCTCTGGCCATGCAGGACCTGCTCCAGCTGGCCCAGGACATAGCCCAGGGCTGCCACTACCTGAGGAAAATCTTCCTCTGGGGGCATCCACTTGACTGGCAGGTCAGGAGTCATTCTGGTTCATGGGATCCCTTAGCCCAACTGCCCCCCTCCCCTCAAGAAAGAGACCTTCCACATAACTTTAATGAAAGTAGATCAGAGCAAGAGATTCTGAGTTCTGGCAGTCCTCCCAACTCTGCAGGGACATTGCTGCCAGGAACTGCCTGCTGAGCTGCAGTGGACCCAGCGGAGTGGCCAAGATGGGGGACTTCTGGAGGGCTAGAGTTATCTACAAGTGTGGGGCCCGGGGAGGTGGGGAAGGCTGCAGCTTCAAGGGAGTTTCCCAGCAGCCCCTGTGATTTGAATAGCTCATCCCTCCCCACCTCCCTCCTATAGAGGCAGTTATTACCTAAAGGGTTGCCAGGCTCTGCTGCCAGTCAAGTAGATGTCCCAGAGGCCTTCCTGGAGGGCACCTTCACATCCAAGATAGACTCCTGGTGATACCACACCCTCCCCTCCCCTGGGCCACCTCATGTGAGGGAAAGGGAGGCTGTGCCTGATGGGCTTCATCAGGTTCCCCCCACTCATGATGCAGGTCTTTTGGGGCACTGCTCTTGGAGATCTTCTCACTGGGCTATATGCTCTGCCCTGGGCACCAACCAGGAGGGGCAGGACTTCATAGCCAGAGTGGGACTGATGGCCAGCCCCGCCCAGGGGCTGTCTAGGGCCTCTGAGAGTTTAGAGTGTTGCCCAGGGAGGGGGTCCTTCACAGCCATGGTTGAGCACAAACTGCTCCTTCTCCCCAGGTAACCAGGAGGGGCAGGACTTCATAGCCAGAGTGAACTCCGCCCTAGTTTTGCCAGCATCTTGGAGCATCTTCCATCCTGGACTTCAATCCAGGGCAGGTGTGTCTGTGACCTGCCCTGACCATCCTGTCTTGGGGGTCAGGAGGGAGGCCATAAAACAACACTGGCCCACTGCTCCCTTACCCTGCTGTGCTCCCAGGACCCTGATGTGCTGAATTCATCTCTGCCAATGGAGCCAGGGCCCAGGAAGAGAAAGGGCTGCTGGCTGGGGAGCAGGTCTTTGGAGGGGCTAAGGTCCCCACAGGCCCAGGAACTGAGTCTGAAGAACTTCAAGAGCTGGAAAGGGAGCTGGCTGCCCTCTGGCCTCAAGCCCCCCAATGCCAGAGGACTCCCACCTTGGGACCCTTAGAATCCCATCTATAGCTGCTGGGCCCCAGGGGCCCTGAGGGAGGACATAGGCATTGGTGCTAGCAGTGGTTCCTCCCTGCACTCCTCCCAGGCTTCTAGGTGGCTTGTTATTCCAGTAGCCTCTCCCCCACACCTCCACCCCAGTTTGTACTGCATGCTTGGGCCTGTCTCAAGGTTGGCCTGCACCACAGGACTTTCCATCCTGGAAATCAGACCCAGGCCTCCTGGGGAGGAGCCTGGCCACTCCCAAACTTTAAACTTTGGGACCAGAGCAGAGGCCAACCCCCTTTCCCCCGGATGTGGGTGGCCAGTTGAAATTGCCTCCTGCAGGAAGCCTTTGCTGGACTGCCCTTCCCCTATGAGTACTCTTCACCTGGGCAGTCCACACAACCCTACAGACAACTAATAAAGAGCTCTTCTCAGCCTGCCAGTGTGGCTCCGCTGGTTGGAGTGTCATCCTGATGCACCAAGGTTGCTGGTTGGATCCTGGTCAGGGCACATACAGGAAGCAACCAATGAATGGATGGGTGGAACAACAAATCAATCAATCTCTCTCTCTCTCTCTTTCTCTCTTTCCTTCCCTCCCTTCCTCCTCCTCCCCCTCCTCCTCTTCCTCCTCCTCCTCCTTCTCACCCTCTCTCAAATCAATCAATAAATTTTCTTTTTAAAAAAGAACTCTTCTCATATCCTCCAGTGATCTGAATGGACCTTAGAGATGCCTGGGAACTGAGAAAGAGGGAACCAGAGGAGGGAGGAGATGAAGTCTGAGTCACCAAAGCTGGTGTCTTTGAGTTTTATTGGGGAGGGGAGTCCATTGTAGTGTGGGAAGGATAGATCAATAGATCTAGTGCCTGTGAAATAAAATTCGTTATCTCACCTCTCTGGAGAAGTACAGAGCCCCCTCAGAATAGCTGGACTCAGGAAGAAGTCCATTGTCACAGTGTACCCCCCACCCCCTAACTTAGTGTCATCGGCTCTGGGACCGCTTGGGTTTGTATGGGGAACAGCCTTGGTGCGTGCAGTGCGTCCCACAGTGGTTGGCACTTGGCCCTACAGGACCCTATGAACCACCCAACCTCTGGGTTTGTCTCTTCCCAGCATGCACAGCGGGGACAAAGCTGCAGGTCCATTTGTGAGACCAGCGGGTCTGTGCGGGGACAGGGGCCTAGTCCCTAGCCTCATCTCTCGGCCAGGCTGGCCAGGATGCTAATGAGATTGTCCAGCCCCAGCAAATAGCCGTCCTCGCGGTTGCCCTCCTCCCAGGGCCTCCGATGGTCCAGGGTCTGGCCGTCAGGGAGAGGCGTGGTCTTGCCGAAGTCGATGAGCCACACACCCGCGCGATGGCTGTGATCGTGTACGAAAAGCAGGGAGCTGCCGATCACCTGCCAAAACCCACAAGGTCAGACCACGGCCCTTCTGGGGAAGCCCTCACAGACCACAGACCAGGAACCTGGCCCTCCCCCTTACCTCATGCCTCCTAAAGAACTCAGAGACCTCCAAGGTGTCCCGGATCTGCAGCAGGCGGTTCAAATACCTCCGCTGGACAGGGTAGGGCGGGAGAGGAGGGCACATTAACGAAACACAGACCGAGCTGCTGCTAACATTAGGGGTCACGACTCATGCTCTGCTTGGTAAATACCGTGGAGGAAAAACAGGCCCTCCCGTGGCGCGCAGGACAGAAGGGAAGAAACATAAAAATTACAACACAGTGTGAGAAAAAGCTACGACAGGGGTCACATAGGCGAGGGCACTAGACAGGGTGGCCTGGGGGCGTCCCTCGGTTTCAGGCGCCCCGACAGCGCAGGTGCCAGGACGCGGCACTCACCAGCACTTCCGCATCCCCTTGCACGAACTCCTGGAAGACTCGGATCACCTGCTCCCGGCTCCGCGTGGTCTTGAAGTCTGTGCTGCAGGATCCGTCGGCTTTCTTAATTAAGGAGGTGGGACAGGAAGTGTCAGGGGCCGTACCCGCCAGAGGGGGCAGGATCATTAGAGCAGCGGTATCTCCCTGGACACGCTGGAAGCTCGAGGGTGCGTATTCAGGGGGGTGGGGGTGGGGGCCCTGGGAGGTTTGACACCGCGGTGTGGGTGTGGGCTGGGGTGCAGGAGCGGCGGGGCTGTGCAAAGCAAAGCGAGCCTGGCCCACCTTGATGCCCTCGATGCGGAAGCCGAGCGTGGTGCTGGAGCTGATGCCTTCCCGCCACTGCATGTAGCGCGGCTTGGTGACCGCGCGCTGCGCGTGCTCCTCCTCCGTGGGCGCCTCGGGGTCCACGGCCAGCATCTTCTTGTACATGTCCTTCCGCAGCTTGGGTCGTTCGCGGGCTTTGGTCAGCTCCTCTTCCAGGTAGGTCCTACGGAGGCGGAGGCAGCGGCGGGGCTGGAGCGGACTCACCCTAGGACTCGTCTAGCACCAACCCGCGCCCCCGCCCGACGGTTCCCGCACGGCCCGGCAGAGCTCACGTACCTGATGCCCATCTTGCAGTCAAGTACGCAGGGCCCATCGAAGCCGTCGAGCAGGTCCTGCAACTGCAGGTAGCTCTCGCCATCGCGCTCCACCACGCCATGGAAGGCGGGCACGCAGCCGCGCAGCGCGTCGGCCATCAGCCGCGCCAGGCAGTACCGCTCCGAGTCCGAGCTGCGCTTCAGGATCAGCCCGCTGGTGCCCGCCGCCTTGAAGCTCCCTGCAGACGGGCCCCAGTTAACGCCGCCTCGTCCCTCCCTCCCCGGGACGCACCCTCCCCACCCGCGCCCGCCCGCGCTCACCCGTGTGCCCGGCCAGCTGCACCCAGGCGTAGCGCTTCTTGAAAGGGCTGATGACGGGCATGTTCACCATGGTCCGGATCTTCTGCCAGTGGCTTTTCTGAAAGCAACACGGTCGGAGCCCGCAGGTCCAGCATCTCATCCATGCATCAGCCCTCCCTCCTCAGGACGGGGGCTCGGCCAGCCCGCCCCACCGCAAGCAGCTAGGGTCCCCTGGTTCATTCATTTGTTCACTCAGGAAACTTTATTGTGCGCCTGCGTGGTGGACATTGAGACACACAGGGTGGTGACAGGTATCCAGCTTCTCAAAGGTGCTGAAAAGAGCCCTGGACTTGGCGTCAGAAGGCTCAGGTCTGAACCACCGTTCTGCCGCTCAAACGCTGAACTTTGGGGCAGGTTATTAAACTGCTCTGAGAATCAACTGATGACCACCCTTGTTTAAAAATGCAGGTTCTTGGGTTTACCACAGGGAAATTCTAAGTTTGGGGTAGGACCAAAAACTTGCATTTCTACCAATGTCTCAGGATATTTGGGGGCCTGAGAAACAAGCCTTCGAGCATCAGCTTCTTCGTCTGTAAAATGGGGAAATGGCTGCTCTCACTGTGTTGTGAGTAGTAAATGAGGCTTGAAAGTGACAGGCTCTTTCTCCCCTGACCTCGTTTCTTGGCATGAAGTAGAAGCTGGACAAATATGGATTGTTTTTTAAAATATATTTTTATTGATTTCCGAGAAGAAGGGAGAGGGAGAGATGGAAACATTAATGAGGAAAATCATTGATCCGCTGCCTCCTGCGCGCCCCCTACTGGGGAGGAAGCCCGCAATCCAGGCATGTGACCCGGTTCATAGGTTGATGCTCAAACGCTGAGCTGGACTGGATTGCTTTTTAAACTTACTTTGAGAATATGTTTATGAAAGCTGGGGACAGTGAAACAAGGAAGGGCCTAGGATAGCTAGAAGGAGCAACAGGCAAGAGGCTGCCTTGGTTCACTAGAAATGTTATGGCGAAAGAGATGGGGCTGCTATCAGCTCACTTGAGAGTCAGAGAGAAGGGCACCGTGGGGACAGGTTCAGGGCATTAGTCCCTGGTGAGATGCCGCTGCCCATGGTTGCGAGTCTCATGGGTCCTTAGAGTTTAGGAGACACATGCTGCCTATGGGGGAAGTGGAGGGGGAAGGAGAGAGCACGCCCCAAATATGGATTGTTGATTCATTCACTTTGGGACCATAGGTTCCTCCCATTTAGGGAGACAATCACAGAAACAAATCTTGACAAAGGCCCAGGGCAGGAGGCTAGCCTGGCTGGGTCTGAAGAAATAATGGCTTGAGGTTTCCCCAAATCATCTGCTATCCCTGGATGCCATATCGCTCCTCACCAGTTAGCAAGACCCAGGGCTTTGAAAATGCAATACAGAGCTGAGGGTCTGTTATCTTCGATGAAACTGAGAGGGAAATGTGGGTTTTGATGAACCTCCTGCCTCATGACCACTGCTTCTGGCCTCCACCCAATCCTGAGACCGTCTCACACTCTGGACCTTTCCTCTTCCCACCAAAACCCATCATTCCTATGTCAACGGGTTCATAGCGCACAGGTTTGCTCATCCAAACTGCATGTCTGCTGCCTCCTCCCAGGGGTGCCTGCTTTTAGAGGAGTTACACATGTGTGCCCCCACAGGGCTGGAACCCAGGAATCCAGCCTCCCTGACTAGAGGGAGTTCTCAGAGGGAGAGGGCGAACTGGGGTAGTGGTCTAAGTAGGGGAAGGCTGCTCACCATTAGGCCCTTTCCCATGTGGAGGAGATGGGGTTAGTGACAGAGCACTGGATGGGGAGTCAGGAGTTGGTTCCAGTCCTGGCTCTGTCATGTTCTAGCTGAGTGAGTCCAAGCGAGAACTTCATCTGTGTGAGCCCGTTTCCTCTGGGAAGACATAGCTGCTGCCATAACACAAGCCACCATGTACTGACCGCCTACTGTATGCCAGGCACTTCTCAGCCTCCACAAGACAGCATTGCTACTGCTTTCCTACTGCAGTCCCTACAAGGCACACCGGGGTGTGATCACGTGTCCAATCCCCGGGGATCTAGGGGTGTAGCCAGGAGCAACCCACTAGAAGCATGACAGCTCTTTCAAAACTCCTTATTCACTCTTTAAATACCTACAAGGCTTGCATTATGCTGCATAACAATCCAAGTTTTATTATAAACTCTCCCACCTCCAAATCTTCAAATAAAATTCAGGGAAGATGTATGTGCCATGTGTATTCAGCGGCACCACGCTATACCCTCTTCTCCCACTCTCAGTTTGAGAATCATGATAATGATGCACAGGGACAGCAAGTGCATGAGGTGGTGGCATTATTGCTATTTTATAGGGAGAAATCGAGGCTCAAAGAGTTAGCATGCCCTCACTCCTGCCTCCAGCCACCCAGCCCCTGGTTCAAGCTATCTACCAGCCCAACCCCCTCCCTATGTTCCAACTGACCCAGCTGGTTCCAAAGTCCATGCTACCACCCCGATTTCTTTTGGGGAAAATGGGACCTCCACACTAGAAAGAGCTGTGTACTAGGTGAAGCAATTTGCAACCACAAAGTGGTGTGTTTTGGGGAAACACTGAGATCTGCCTGGAGACCCCTCTCTGTTGGCAGGATACCTTTGCCTTCATCCAAAGGAATGAGGTTAATTGTGGGATTGAGGCAGCTTTAGGGGCCTACTGGCAGACTGTGGGGGACAGTGGGACCAGAATGGAGTTAATCAGAGGGTACAACTATTTCTGTAGCTGCCCCAGTAGAAGAGGGAATCAGCCTTGGGTCAAATGAGATGGGAGAACTGTATTATTCTTTCTTCTGGGATCATGTGGGAGCAGTGAGTGGGGCTGAAGATAGATAGAGGTAGACCTGGTAGAAGAGGATTTAGCACCTGCAGTCCAGGACTACTGCCACTTGATTGATATGTGATGACACAGCATCAACTTGCTCCCAAGATGATGTAAAATTGGGGCATCATCTACCCTTACCACCACAATTTTGAGAGGATCATGTCAACTGAGAGCAGCAAAGACAAAGGCTGGTTCTAGCCATGCAGGTTACAAAGGGCTTTAATACCTATTATGTCATCTGAGCCCTCCCAGCCACCTCCTGAGGTGGTGTGACAGGATTTAGCTCCCCTGCCACTAAAGGATATGTTCAAACATGGAAGGAGTTGATACAAGTGTCATGGAACTCACTGCCGTTTTCCATCTTAAGGAGCTACCTGGTACCTCCCCCAGGACATAATGCATATAAAGATGCACATGTCCACCCTGGCCAGGTGGTTCAGTTGGTTGTAGCATCATCCCATACACCAAAAGGTTGCGAGTTTGATCCCCAGTCAGGGTACATACAGGAGGCAGCCTGTCAGTGTTTCTCTCTCACATCCATGTTTCTCTCTCTCTCTCTCTCTCTCTCTCTCTCTCTCTCTCTCTCTCTCAAAAGCTCAATAAAAACATATCCTGCCCTGCTGGCATGGCTCAGTGGTTGAACGTCAACATATGAACCAGGAGGTCTCAGGTTTGACTCCGAGTCAGGGCACATGCCAGTTTATGGGCTTGAGCCCCAGTGGGGGGCATGCAGGAGGCAGCCAATCAATGGTTCTCTCTCATCATTGATGTTTCTATCTCTCCCTTTCCCTTCCTCTCTGAAATCAATAAAAAAAATTTTTTTTAAAGATGCATGTGAAACATTCCTTGGTGGGTGGGTGACGATTTGGGCACATGAACAGCAGCAGGGGAGATATTTTTTAGCAGGGTAGGCTTTTATTGTATGTGTCTCAGAAAGCAGATTTATTACGTTACAAAGTGAAATCTACTTGAAAAGAGGGCCAAAGCACCATCCTCTGGCCCAGCCTACTCCCCACAGAAGACTGGGAAACCAACTCATCTTGGGGCAAAAGGCCCATGAGAGCTGACCCGTGTGTCTTTAACGAAGTCACAGGAGGACCCTCTGACAATTCCTCACTCCTGGGGCTGGACTAGGAGCATCTCTCTCTGGGCAGGGCTCTGCTAGACACAAGCCTCTAACGGGCCTTTATCTAAGCTCTATTTGGAAGCCGGGAGGACTCCTGCTTCTGTATCACATCAGGCACTCAGTGTACCTGCTGCCAGAACGGACCCTTTGCCTTTGGTGCTCATCCCCACACTCCCTGCCTCCAGCCCTTCAGTCATTGGCTGCAGCTCTCTACCAGCCCAACCCCCTCCCCATGTTGCCACTGCCCTATCAAACTAGCACTCCCTGTGGTGGTGGTAATGGTGGTGGTGGTGAAAGCAATCAGTTTAAATTTATAAAATCATTTGCACGAAGGTATAAGTGACCCACGACTTCACCTTCCCCAGGGCATTTACTTTATAAAAAGGAAGTCAGTTAACCTAAATTCTGCTCTATAATTAGTGAAAAGTGAAGTGTGGGAGTTCTGAGTCCAGGACAGGATGGCATCCAGGTCTCCTTACCCATCCTGGAGCACTGAGAGAAGAGAAAGAAGTGAACAGGAGCCAAACATCCTCTCTTCTGCTAGAGCAACACCCCACGATTGTCTTAAGAGGCAGGGAAGGCCTAAGAATACAGACACTCATGCCAGCTGTCCTCGGGGACAGGCCCCTAACCTCCCTCCCCCTCTTCCCTCGCCTGTGTAGGTTTCCCTGCCCATGACTTTTCCCTATACAAGAGGAAAGGCCCGGGGAGGGAGGAAGGGCTGTCCAGCCCCAACTACCCTGCGGGGAGCAAGGCTCCAGGCTCTTGGAAGGCTGTTGGGGGCTCCTAGGAGGAGAAGGGGAAGGACGCGCGTGCCAGGCAGAGGCAAGGTGGGGTCTTCGCAGGCCTCCTGCTCTGGCCACTCCGGTTGTCTGCCCAGGCCTGAGTGCCCGAGGCGCCCTTCTCCCAGGTGCATCCTGAAGGCCAGCCAGCTCCCGGGCTCTGCTTCCTGCCCGGGGAAGCCCTCAAGGCGGCCTGGCGGGCGCGCGGTGCCGCTCCCGACCGGCCGCGAGGCAAAGTCCGCGCCGGGCCCTTCCACGCGGACGCAGGAGGCCTCTGTCAACAGTTCCTGGCTTATCTGCCGCCGCCGTGGCTGTTTGCCTTCGGGGAGGCCCCGGCGGGCTGGGGGTTGGGAAGGCCCGAGAGACGCAGCCTTGGAGCTGGAAGGGCCTTCGAGAGGCCATCTGCTCCAGCTCAGCGTGGGGGGGAGGCCGGCCAGAGACACCAGGGCACAGCTGCGACCGCTCCCGGAGTGCTGGCTCCTGCCGACGGCGCTCCCGGGCTTGGGCCGCGGGACCTCCTCCGCCCACGGACGTTAGAGAGAACCGGGGGCTGCCCTCGTGGGCCCCTCCTCCTGGGCCCGCCTCTCAGCTGTCAGAGATGGAGCGGGGGCGCCGCGGGCCCCGAACTACGGCTCTGTATTTCCGAGGAGGCAGGGAGGCAGCAGATCTCTCCCTGCCCCACATCCACCTCCTGGGAAACCCCAGGCGGCACCCTTCCCTGCTTGGGCCAGGGCTGCACTAGGAGCCATCCTGGGCCAGGGCACCCTTACTCCCCCGCACCTACCCGGCAGCGGGTGTTCCTGTTCTATGAGGCTTTTTCTCTTTTTTCTTTTGTGTCACAAACCATGCCGCCCTCTGGGTAAAGCCGGTCTCAGGGGGTAACTGAGTCACGGATCCGCTGCAGGTCGTTCAAGTGTCTCCCCGCCTCTTCCCATCCGAGCGCGCGGCGGGGCTTGGGTTCCGCAGGGGGGCCGCGCCCCCAGCGCTCTTCCCCGCCGCGGCGCAGGGCCACCCCGGGGGGGCCGGGGGCCCACGCCCGCCCTTTCGGGGGAAAGGCCAAGGAAGCCACCGGGGGCCCCGGGGGGGGCCCCTTTAGCCTCTCCCCGGGGCTCCCGGGAACAACTAGGGGACACTTGGGTTAACGTGGAACTTCTTTAAGTCCCTGGGCAGGGAGTTTTTTTTAAAAGGATTTTTGGCCTTTCTTTATAAACAAGGGGGGTCAAGGAGGGGGTGTCCCTGAGCGCGGGACCCCCCCTCAGGGGCCAGCCCCCGGGGAAAAGACCTGCCCCCCCCCCCCCGGCCCTGGATTTTTTTGGGATTTTTCGGAGGGGCAGGCCAGGCCTTCTGACACTAGAAGGCGGCGACTAGCGGGCTGAACACGCCTTTCAGCCTCAGTTACCCCCCTCGGCCATAATAGCAGCAGCGAACCGGGAGGGCGGCGCTCCGCTGCCGGCCAGAGCTCCCGGCCCTGCGCTCCTCCTTCCCCGCGTCCACGCCTTGTGCGGGCGCCGGGAGCAGACGGCGGCGGCTCCCGAGCTGAGCCTGTAGCGCCGCTCCACTCCCACTCAGGAGAGGGAAACCGTGGCAACGACGGGGGTGGGGTCCGGCGCGGGCGAGGGGGCGGCGAGATGGAGTGACTCGTGCGCCCCTCTCTCCCCGAGAGTTCGCGGGGCAAGCCAACCCCTCCGATCTCCCAGGTCCCACCTCGCAGCCGGCCGGTCACGATCCCCCGCTCCCCACCCCACCCGGTCCCCGTGGCCGGTCGCAGGCTCCTCCTCACTCGCCTTCTTAGACGCCCCAGGGCCCGGCCCGCGAACCTCCCGCGGAAACGGGGTGAAAACTGCCAAGGCGAGAGGTCCGCGGAGGCCTCCCTCCGGCCCCTAAGCCCCCGGGGCAGTGAGAACCCGGCCCTGGGCGGAGGGACCTTGGGGCGGGAGTCGGACCCCGGAGAGCTAGAAGCTGGGTCCCCCGCGCACGGCCCCCGGCCCCGCCCCCGCGGCCCGTACCTGACCCACGTCCTCGCCCGCTTCCAGCTGCACGTTGCCGCGGCTCCGGCTCTCGCTGTCGCTCAGCAGATCGTCCTCCGAGTCCTCCGGCATGGACGAGGAGCCAGTGGAGGAAAGCGACGAGGTGGAGAGGCGGCGCGGCTGCTGCAGGTGCGAGGAGCCCACGGCCGGGAGCCAGCCGCCCTCCGGCTCGGGCGGCCCGGGGCTGGCCGGGGGGACGTCTGGCTCCTCGGCGGTCACGGTCAGCTGAGGGATCACTGGGGCCGGGGGAGCTCGCGGAAGCCCGTTGGGGACTTGTCCCCCACGCCGCTTGGCCCCGCGGGCACCGGGGCTCCCCGGCGGCGGCGGCGGCGGCGACCGCAAACAGCGCGCCTCGAAGAGCAGGCGCAGCTGCCCGACACTCAAAGCGGGGGGCCCGCTCCA